AGGGAGTAGCAGCAATGGGAAGTAGCAAAAAAATTGAATTGGACAAGGTGATCTTCAAAGAAAGTCATTCTGAATTTTTAAATTTCGTCAAGTTATTGAAAGTAAGTTAATAAATATAATAATAAACAAATATAAATATTTAAAATTGTCTTTCATTGTTTTCTTCACTTTATTGTCATTTATTAAATTTATATATGTGTGTTTCTATGTGTGTATATATATATATATATATATATATATATATATATATATATATATATATATATATATATATATATATATATATATATATATATATATATATATATATATATATATATATATATATATATATATATATATATATATATATATATATATATATATATATACACTTACATACATACATAAATACATACATACATACATAAATACATACATACATACATACATACATACATACATACATACATACATACATACATACATACATACATACATACATACATACATACATACATACATACATACATACATACATACCTATATTAGAGCCATATCGCTTCAAGTATTTTAAAAACAAAAATATAAAAAGAAAATATTTTTAGAGGTCAAAAATTCACAATTGCTACTCATGGGAAACCATTGACTATTGTAGCTGGAACTATGGGCAATAAATGTGATCGTGCTAATCTAAGTCAAGAATCTTTTGGAACAATCATTGAGCTTATAAAATGATTAGAACTCAGTGTAAAAACAAAAAAGTGTGTTCCGTATTTAGAAAAAGTCTTGGCTTTCAAAATAGCATAGAAGGAAATATTATTTAAAAGTTAGAGGCTTTAAAAGCAGAAATGAATGACTATTTTTCATGTAAAGAAGTAGAATTTTTTGAAGCTGGCAGTATAGTAAATAAATCAATGGTTTATAAAAAGGATATTGATGAATTTATTCATAATATAATCACTGAAAGGAATATTGACCCTCTTTCTACAATTCTAAGAGTTGCTATGGATTCTGGTCAAAGTTTTTTAAAGGTCCTTATGAATCTTTTTAATCCGCATAATAAAACTAGCAACCAACCTGACCTTGATGATGCTGGAGCTAAGTAGTGTCTGAACACAATGAAAATCTTTGAAAATTAGTTGATACACTTAATCTTCAAAATATTAAGTATTCTATTGCGTTTGATTTAAAGTGTGCAAACTCAATGTTTGGCATTACAAGCCATGTTAGAAAATTGAGTTGTTTGTGGTGTGAAGGAGCGAGTATTTTGGATTGTGGAGAAGAACGAACTCTTCATTCCCTCGATTATCATTACACTAAATACACAGAAGCTGGAAAACCAAAATTAAAGATGGCTGATTATAAAAATGTTATTAATCCAAGACTATTACAACTTCTTGAAGAGGATCCAGACACAATTATAGAAAATTTAGTTCCAGTACCTGAGTTGCATACATTAATCGGAATAGTTACAACTTTTGGAAAACTATTATCAAAACTACGGCCTAGCTTTGAAAAGTGGTTAAACTCAAATTACATATTGTTCAGAGGTTACCATGGCATTGGATTTGATGGCAACAATGCCAACAGACTTTTAGATAAGTTAGATGTTCTTGCTTGTGAGATTGCTGATCAAGGAAAGCTTGAATTATTGCCAGTAATTGAATGTTTAAGAAAGTTTTAAGCAATGAAGCAAGCTACCTTTGGAGAAAAAATTACTGGTGATATTGAATCTATAGTTTTCGAATTCAAGATGTCTCATGCTAATTTAATGGAATATATTGATACTTACTTTAATAATATTTCTTTGAATATACAATGGAAAGTTCATATTGCAGTTAACCATATTGTACCATTTCTAAAAAATACCAATACTGATAATAGACTTGGAATTTACTCTGAACAAGCAAGTGAATCTGTTCATCATGAGTTTAAAAAGACATAACTTATGTATAAGAGACGACAAAGCCACCCAGACTATGCTAAACGATTGAAGTCAAGTGTTGTGGAAATTTCAACATTTAATAAATAGTTAACAAGTTTTCTATTCAAATAAATATTTTGTTGACCCACAACTATGTCAAAATTGTTATTTCAAAAGTATTTTAGTAGCATGAAAGATTTTAATCAAATATAAAATGTAACGTTATTTGTGTATTTTAAAGCTTAGTTTAGATATTTTTTACCTTAAATGCGTTAACTACATTTTGTTGTTGTAACTTTTATACCTACATTTTTTTTTTGTCCGGACACTTTTTAATGCTTTTATATTATGGGAGTGCACAAGAACACAGTAAAAATTAGGCTTCTTTATAAAGTTATGTGAAATATATGAACTTCGATAAAGTTAACCATGTACCGCCCCTCTCCTTTTTATCTAAAGTTTAAATTTGTAAAAAATTTTATTCTAGCCATTCCTATTGAGGTTCTTAATACCTTTACCTAAGTTAAATACTATGTTACTTTCTTAATAAGAAAAAAAAATTGGATGTGGGGAGACATCAAACCTGGCGGTTATTGTGGTTCACTGTGATTTTATCGTCTTCAATAATACAGAAATTTTTAGAAATAAATTTGTCATACAACATTCTGCAGCGGGTTTTTGCATTTTTTTGTTGAGTTTCAGATCGGTTGGGCACTTTTTGTGCTTTGAAAGAATGAAAAAAATGATTATTTTGACATTTTACAACAAAACTATGAGAAAGTCCATAAATGATTGCGCGCTCCCATAGTGAAAGGTTTGTGTTAGTCTTAAAACTGTTATACAGTTTTCTAACTAGTTTTTTATCTTTAAAACTCTTCTTTCTTCCACCACCAGATTTACGTATGATCGATTTTGTTTGAGAAAAACGTTAGATTACACGACTAACAATGAATGGATGTACTTGCAACGCTTTTGCTATCAATTTATAGCTACTATTGGGATTTTCCAAATATTTGTGCATAATTTTTTCTTTTATGTATTCTTCTTTTGTCATTTTTAAAACTAATTTTAAGTTAAATCAAAAAGTTAAAACATTTTTTTTTAGAAACCACAACAAGTTGTAAACAAAATATAAAACAATTAAAAAGATTTTAATATAACCTCTGAAAAAAATGACGTAGCTATTCTTTCACATTCGTTTCGTGTTCACGCTTTATTTGAATTAGTCATTTTCAAATCTTAAGCTTACTATTGAGATACCAAAAAACACAATAAAAAAAAAACGTTTGTTTGATTAGTGAAATAGTATATTATTGGAATCTATAATAATTCTTTGTGGGAATGTTTTATGGAGAAACTGAAAGAATAAATTATTATTACTTTGTTTTAGTAGCAACAAAAAAATCAGAGTAGCAATTTTTCTTGTTTTTTATCTTTTATTCAATGCATTTTCGCACTTATTATGGCATTTGATTGCATGTCTTTTGTGAAGTTATTAGTTACAATATTTATTCTGTATATCTTTGCAATGTTTTTGTTTGATACTAATTCTCTATTGAGCAATTATACGGATAATTGGAAAGATAAAGTTTATAAGAAATTGGAAGAGGTCTTCCGTAATGATGGTGATACATTTGTTAGAGTAACGCTTATCTTGGGAGTTGAAGAAAAAACAAATCAACTTGATATGTGTTTACACTTGCAAGAATTAAAAAGTTTACTGCATGATACGGAAAGTTTTAGAATATATGCAAAAACGATTTCAGAAAATTTAAAATTGGCAGAAAAAATTGATGAATTTAAAAA